GAGATGAATGCTGGAACTGGTTCTAGGGTTGAGTTTTATAACCCTTTTCTGCACCTGTGCATTTTTTCTGGAAACACTTGGCAATCCCTTGAGTTCTTTTTGCGGAGTCATCAAAATGGAAAGGCATGTTGGCAAATCCACTCTCAGAGTCTATCAAACTGAAAGTGCATCTGCTGTCTGTTGCAGCTCGTATCTGGAAGTCTACCCAAAGCTTTATGGGTTCACAGGTGTGGGTTTCTAACTCAGGATGGCTGAGCCCAGGATGTGTAATACTGGAATTAAGGGTGATTGGTACTAGATTAGTCTAATTGGATTATCATAACTCTGAGTGTGGGTAATTGCAAGCCGCACTCTAGATGTGGTTGACACCACTCACAAGGTTTATAGCCTGGATGGCACAAAAAGGAAAGGGAGGGCTGCCACTGCCACTGCCACCCTGCTTTCTTGGCTGTCCTGCCGGGAACGGTTTCTCCTCTGCCAGGTCAGCCTACCTCGGAGCCAGCCAACTAAGGACTAAAACCTCCACAAACTGTGAGCTAAGATAAACCCTTCCTGTTTTAAGTTTGTATATTGGGTATTTGGCCTCAGCAATGAGAAAAGTAACTAAGACAGAGTCAGAAGGGACATGACTTTGAGACAGAATTGGAGAGAAGGGCAAAAGCAGGAGGGATGGTGCCCAGGTCTTGGCTCTACCTCTGAGCTGCATCTTCAGTCAAACTGAACATACTTAAAATACACAATTTAATAAGTTTTTTTTTTTTAAAAAAAAAAGCTATCTTCACCATTCTTTAATGCACACAGTTCAGGGGTTTAAAGTGCATTCACTAGTTTTCAACAATTGTCACCATACATCTCCACAGTTTTTTTCATCTTTCCATCTGAAACAGTGTCCTCATGTAACACTTTATTGAGAAACATCAAGTAAAATCAATTTATAGGGCTGGGGAGGTAGCTCAGTGGCATAAGTGCCTGCCTGGTAAGCATAAAGTCCTGAGTTCAATCCCTTGTACCAAACAAAACAAAACCCAACTTCTGAGGGAAAATCAAAGCCTACAGTTGGGGGGGGGGGGAGTCTGGGCCATAGCAGAACCCACAGAAAATACTTTTATAATTGAAAAGTTCTAGATGCTTCATAATTGATCTTTTGACCTATTCAATTTGCAACTTGTGCTTCTCAGTGTTGAGGTCCCCGCCACAAACTAGTAAGTCTTCAAACCTTGAGGTTAATTCCAGGAGGGATCATTATTTGGCTCTGAATCATGATTTCTTTCTGTAGCAGGCAGCAGCAGCAGCGCCTGTCTTCTGGGCAGCTTCTTTCCTGGCATGATGAGCCTGCAGAACTGCTTAGCTTCATCCACCTTAGAGTGGAGAGACTTGGGGGACTCAAGTACGTGCAGCAGCTCCAAGTTGAGGAGCTCCAGCAGCGTGCCCGTGATCTTGCCAGCCAGGTTCATGCATTGTTCAGATTATCGAGAACAAACGTTCTCCCAATATGTGCTTCTGCTCCTCAGGGGATCTACAGCCAGTGTGGAGCCAGTCAGGGGCTCCTGCCCCTGCACATGAACCTCAGGCTGGAGGGCCTGCAGAGGCCATATGGCACGGTTCGAGCTGCAGATGCTGCAGACAAACTTGTGTGGTGCCACAACCTGAGAAGCAGCAGCAACAACAACAACTGCAGCCCAAAGCATGAGGTTATGGAAACACCTCCAGACCGGCAGCCATCAGTCAGCCCTTGCTGGGCAGCACCAGCCCCACCAAAGTCCGTAGTCAAGGGGCCCTGGCACTGTGAGTAGTAGCAAGGAGGACAAAAGAGGCCTAGTTGTAGCCAGACAGCGAAGAGTTGAGTGAGCCCCACATTAGCATATAGAATTTGACATTCCTTGGTAGCCGTGAGGCCTTCCCCTTTACTGCCATTAGGTCTCATTTGTGCCAACTGCACAGTGCAGAATTCTTCCCTGAACCTGTGGAACTGCTGACAGGAAGTAGCCACCAGCTACAGGCTGGAACTGGTTTAAAATGGCATTGGCAGGGAGTGCTCTCGTTCCAGCCACCCGCTGCACGTACTGGTTGGTTAGGTGAGTGTTTCTCTCCTCTTTCTTTTGGGCTATGGCAATAGTGGCTTAAAACCCTCAGTGCACCCATTCATTTCAGTGACTGCTTTGGTTCCAGTCAGGAGATGAGAAACAGACAAACCAAACCCTTTTGCTTCTTCCATCTCCCAGCATCACCTCAGCACTGATCCACAAGGAGAAAATTCTTTTCTTAATTTTCCATGGTCAGTGGTGTCATTCATATTCTTAATAAGCGTAAAGATTCACTCCTTGGTATCAATTAATTCTCTCCTGTTTTTGGCTGCTTAAATTTCCATTTTAATTCAGCCTGCTGTTCTGTTTTCTTCTGTGCACAGCCTACAAATATTACTTTCCCATTGATTTCTTTCCCATTCACCTCTTTCTTGGTCTTAGTGGCACCCTCCTCGCTTTTGTAGTTCACAGAGCCAAAGCCTTTAGCCGAGGAGATGGCTCAGAGCCTTTGGAGTTCTGCCTGGAATCGTCATCATCCTGACACTTCGGGTCTTACCAAACTGGCTGACCGGCTCCTTCAGACTTTCACCATCCACCTCGTCTCCAAAGAGGTGTTCACGATATAAACACTGGTGAATTCTTTGGCTTTAGGTCCTCACACTAGACACAGAACCCCAGACAAAGGTTCTCAAAACAATATGGCCCTCCCCCGGAGTTTATTATTTCCAGCTCTCCTGGCATGAAGCTCCAAATTACAGAAAAAGAAATCAAGTAGGGAAATCTCCTACTGAAAGGTGGCAAAAATAAATCCTTCCAGGGGCAGCCAGATGCTGCCCATGCTGGCCCCGGGCTCCCATCCATGTAAGATTGCAGTAGCCAGAGTAGGAGAAACCAAAAAAATCTTTGCAGGATGCTGACGTGGTTACGAAGTGCAGCATGGATAAGGGGTGTGGCAGGCCAGTGCCATGCGGTACCCCTGCACAGAGGAGCAGCCCAAAGAGCAAGCGATAGCAGTGGGCACAAGAGGCACAGATTGTAGGGACGCAGAGGACCTGCAGGGCTGCAGGACAGATGGGCAGGTTGGAAGCTTTTGCAAATAACTTCTGCATGCATAGGCTGTCCAAAAGGGACACGCTTTATACTTTCTTTTTCATTTCTTCTCTTCTCAAGGTTTTAAAGCATTTTTGTCATTGTTTCATCATTTTATTTTTTTCTTTGCTTCAGACTGCTAAGCCCAAAAGCACCTCAGACAGCCCCATTAAACACTGACTCCCTCTACAGACTGTTATTCTTCTAGTGACTTGGCAGAAGTGGAATCATTGAAGGATTTGGCCTGTTGTAGCTGACTTATTCCTCTCAGCATAAACCCCACTGTCCATCCATGTTCTATCATGTGTCAGAATTTCCTTCCCTTTTGTGGCGGAATACTATTGTACAGTCTGCCTGGCCACATTTGGTTCCTGTGGTCATCCATCCACAGACACTACAGCTGTTTCTGCTTGTTGAGATTTGTGCATAGATGTCCCCAAAGCCTCATGTGGTCAAAGGTGGAGTTCTTCAGAGGCGGCTCAGTCTGGACTGTAATGCTGGGATCAAGGGCACAGGATTACTACATAGTCCACTGAGTGGCTTGGCACAGTTCTGGGATGCATAATGGAAAAGGTCTTCTGGCGTGAGTGCTGCACATCCTAGGGGCAGGTAGCCTGGGTAGACTCTAAGGGACAGAAAGAGGGTTGCTGCTGTCATTGCTTGCCGCTTGCCACTTTGCTGGTGGTTGCCTTCTGCCTCTCCTGCTTTGCCATGGGCAGTTTCTCCTCTGTGATGCCCCTCTGCCAGGGACACTTCTGCCTTAGAGCCCGCTGACTGTGGACTGAAAGGTCTACAAACTATGAACTTTTCCTCCTTTTGCTTGAGGTGTTGGGTATTTTGTCTCTGTAGGAAAACAGTAACCAGGACACTGCTTTAGCCTTATGTGAATAAAACTGTGATTAACATGAGTTAAATATGTTACAAGACCTTATTTTCAGTTTCTTTGGGGGAAAAATTACTAGATTATGACATAATTCTATGTTTTTTTGTTTGTTTTTTTTTTTTGTACAAGGAATCAAATTTAGGACCTTGAACTTGGATAATAATTCCATCAATTGGGCAGGGGGAATGTAATTGTGATACTATTTCCAGAGTGTCAGTAAAATGTTACAGCAAAATAGACCAAATAAAGGAAGACGCAGCATTGAAAAGGTCCATGAGACAGCTAGGCCTGATTGGGATTGATCCCAAAGAGTCAGGCCCACCCAGGTGTGGCTTGGGGGCTTTTAGGAGACAGCAAGCAAGAGGTACAGAAGCAGATTTGGCACGTTATGATCAGAGGGCTGGGTGACATCGTGGGTAGCCAAGGATGTTTAAATATCTCAGGTTATATTGTAAGTTCATCAAGTTAAGCACAAGTTACACAAGAGAGGGAGGGAGTGTCTTTTTAGGGCTTGTCTAGACGAGTCTATTTGGTTTTAGCACAAATTCTTGGTGGGTTCAGATCTTAATTTCCCTTCAGTACATTTTTTAAAATTTAGTTAAATTTGTTGGTACAGTTTAGGTTTATACAATGATCACATGCGTCATACAAAATTTGTACCTGTACATTCTATACCTTGACTCTTTTTTCCTCCAGTCCCCTCCCCTTTCTTCAACCCTTCTTCTCCACAGTGTGCAAAGCTTTGTTTCCATTTTATCCTTCTTTTCTCATTTTTTCCTTTTCTCCTCCTTCTTTCCCCCTCCCCCATGCCTAGTTGGCTCGCACTAACAGCTCCGGTGCTATTCAACTCAAGGATTGTGCAAGGCAAGACCTGGTGGGTGAGGCTGTCACAGGAAGAGGGCGGAGCAGAGCTGCCCGCTGGTGCCTTCCTCTCCTAATTTAGGACTGCTAAAGTACACTGTCACTAGTTCCTTGGCTGTGGCCCAGGTATACTTGGATACGGATCAGAGTGATGGCCAGACCTGGACTGCTGCTGCTGTTGCTCCTGCTGCTCCTGCTGCTCCTGCTGCTGCTCCTTGTGGTGCCGGTGAGGACATTGCCCCATCACTGCTCTGGGACAAGGGTGGGGTGGAAGCTAGGCAGGCAGGCTGGGAATGCACCAGCTTTCTGGACAGCCTGAGCTCAGGGTGGGTCCCACGGTCCCAAGGGGCATCATGCCACCTCTATCTTGCCATCCCTTCCCCAACAGTTGGAACAGCAAAGCAGAGCAGTGGAAACTGGGCCAGTGACAATACCAGGTCTCCCAGGGTTACCTCCAAATGTGTTTTAGATATGAGTGGTGACCACATGGCTCCCATATGTGGGCCAAAGGACATTGGATCCAAAGAATGGAGGATGCTGCTTTATAAGCTGGATCTTGCTACAAATCCACTCAACACTGCCTCTACTGCATAGTTTGCTTGCAGAAATAGCTTCACCGGGGCCAGGGAGAGGACTCAGTGGAATAAGTGCTTCCCTGGTAAGCGCAAGGGCCTGAGTTCAATCCCCGGTTCTGCCAAAAAAAGGAAGGAAGAAAGAAAGAAATAGCTTCACCAATGAATCACTGAATCACTGCTTTCTTATGATCACTAACACTGGTGAAGCAAACCATTCCCAAAATTGTCATAGGAACTATGTACGTCCAAAAGCACCCAGCATAGCACCTGTCTGGCAAGTGCAAGGTCATGAGTTTGATTCTCAGTACCAAAATAAAGCAAAACAAAAAAGAAGACAAGCTGATCTCAAGTCAGAAGGTGTGGAAGTGAGATCAGGTGCCCCAGAGTGTTTGGAGCAATCCCATAGCCCACAGAGGAGCCTCCTCAGCTCTGCACCCACCTGCCCTTCAGGTTTGCCCACTGCACAGGCATTCTACACCCTTTCCTCGCAGCGCACTGTTCTCAGGGTGGTGAAACTCAGTCCTTTGGGGGAAGCAGCCTCTGTGGCTTCCTGACTGGGCAGAGGTCACTGAGCATGAAAGGCTGTGCCCTTCTTCTCTGTGTTTCCTTTTTTTGTTTGTTTGTGGAAAGAGTTAGGTTGAGGAGTATGCTTAGTAGCTTATTCCTTTCTGCTAGTGGACACTGTGGAGGAAGCATCATCAGTCTCTCTTCTGACTGCCTTCATGTCTAAGTCAGAGTCTCCCAAGGAGCCCGAGCAGCTACGGAAGCTCTTCATCGGAGGGCTGAGCTTTGAAACAACTGATGAGAGTCTGAGGAGCCATTGTGAGCAATGGGGAACACTCACAGACTGCGTGGTTATGAGACCCGAACACCGAGTGTTCCAGAGGCTTTGGGTTTGTCACTTATGCCACTGTGGAGGAGGTGGATGCAGCCAGGAATGCAAGGCCACACAAAGTAGACGGAAGAGGTGTGGAACCAAAGAGCTGTCTCAAGAGAAGATTCTCAAAGACCAGGTGCCCACTTAAAGGTGAAGAAGATCTTTGTTGGTGGATCAAAGAAGATGCTGAAGAACATCACCTATGAGATTATTTTGAACAATATGGAAAATTGAAGTGATTGAAATTATGACTGACTGAGGCAGTGTAAAGAAGAGGGGTTTTGCTTTTTTAATCTTTGATGACCATGATTCTGTGGGTAAGGTTGTCATTCAAAAATACCACACTGTGAATGGTCACAACTGTGAAGTGAGGAAAGCCCTGTTGAAGCAGGAGATGTCCAGTGCTTCATCTAGCCAAAGAAGTTGAAGTGGTTCTGGAAAGTTTGGTAGTGGTCGTGGTGTTGGTTGTGGTGGCAATCACAGTTTCAGTAGCGCAGGAAGCTTCAGTGTTCAAGGTGGCTTTGGTGGCAGCCGTGGTGGTGGTGGATATGGTGGCAGTGGAGATGGCTACAATGGATTTAGTAATGATGGAAGCAATTATGGAGGTGGTGGAAGCTATAATGAATTTGGCAATTACAACAATCAGTCTCCAAATTTTAGGCCAGGGAGATGGCTCAGTAGAATAAGTGCTTCCCTGGCAAGCATAAGGGCCTGAGTTCAATCCCTGGTTCTGCCAAAGAAAAAAATAAAATAAAATAAATAAATAAAGGCTAAGTCTCCAAATTTTGGACCCATGAAGAGAGGAAACTTTGGAGGCAGAAGCTCTGGGCCCTGATTTTGGAGGCCAATATTCTACCAAAATCAAGGTGGTTCTGGTGGCTCCAGCAGCAGCAGAAGCTATGGCAGTGGAAGAAGGTTTTAAACACATCCAGGGAACAAAGCTCAGCAGGAGAGGAGAGCCAGAGAAGTGACAGGGAAGCTACAGGTTACAGCAGATTTGTGAACTCAGCCAGGCACAGTGGTGGCGGGGCCTCGCTGCTACAATGAAGACACGTTTTAGACAATACTCATGCAGCGCATGGGCAAAAAACTCGAGGACTGTATTTGTGACTAATTGTAAAACAGGTTATTTTAGTTTCTGTTCTGTGGAAATCATAAAGCATTCTAACAGTGTTTTGATGTAGACCTTTTTTTTTTTTTTTTTGCACCCATGCTGTTGATTGCTAAATGTAATAGTCTGATCATGACACTGAATAAATATATCTTTTTACTTTGTGTGTTTTTTTTTAGTTTTTGGCGGAACTAGGGATTGAACTCAGGTGCTTGCGCTTGCCAGGCAAGCGCTTATTCTACTGAGCCATCTCCCTGGCCCCATGTATCTTTTTAGAAAAGAGAGAGAGAGAGAGAGAGAGAGAGAGAGAGAGAGAGAGAGAGAGAGAGAATTGGGCTGGGGATGTAGCTCAGCAGCCCAGTATCTGCCTGGCAAGTGTGAGATTGTAAGTCTGATTCTCATTACCAATTAGGTCCCCTCTAATACATGTGTTTTCTCTGTAAGGTGTGCCATGGTCTTCCTAGACTGGACACAAGACAGCTCTTCATACCTATGCTTAAGGGCTGTTTCAAACAACAAAATTACCCACAAAAATGTCAAAACACATGATACTCAATGGGCCACAAAATAGAACACCTTTAGTTTTTGCAGCCTCAAATATATCATCTCAGGATTGAACCAGAACCTTCCAATTGAGCTACGTCTCTGGACCTGTTGAATATTTTTATTTGGACAGAGCTCCCCTAAGTCAGTTGCCCAGGCACTTGACCTTCCGATCTTCCTGCCCCACCTCCCAAGGTAGATAGTATTTCTACAGCTGAAGACTAAATATGAAAGCAGAGCGTCACCTTGTTAAGCCTCAGTGGGAACGTGTTCTGTGACCCTGTGGGTCACTCTGCATATTGGCAAGTGGCTGTAAATACATTTTAGCAAGCAGGATGATTCACAAACACGTGAATGGTGAGGATAAAGTATACCGGGCAAAAGAATGTAAAGTGACTCAATAATACAGCCTCAAAGTACAAAAGGTAAAATTTAACACACTTAGCTGATGAAACCTGAAAATCTATAAATTTAGTAGGAAATGTTAATGTATGTCAAAATCCAGAAAATCAGCAAGATTACTATTATTATTTTATTTATGTATTTATTTATTTATTTTGGTGGAACTGGGGATTGAACTCGGGCCCTTGCATTTGCCAAGGAAGCACTTATTCCACTAAGCCATCTCCTTGGCCCCCAAGATTATTATTATTTTTATTATTATTTTTTTTTGTAGTGCTCAGAACCTTGCCCTTGCCAGACAGGTGTTTATGCTGCTGAGCTATATCTCTGGCCCTAAAATACATAAAAATCAAGCCCCACCCCCATATCAACAATGATAAAAATCTATCAGGACTGGGCCCAGTGGCCCACAAAGGTAATCCCAGTTATTCAAGAGTCTAAAGCAGGGGTAACACAAGTTCAAAACAAAACAAGAAAGAGAGAGAGAAGGAAGAAAGGAAGGAAGGGAGGGAGGGAGAGAGAGAGAAGAAGGAAGGAAGGAAGGAAGGAAGGAAGGAAGGAAGGAAGGAAGGAAGGAAGGAAAGAAGGAGAATAGATAGAGCTGAGGGTGTAGCTGAGGAGTGTAGTACATACCTAGCATGAGCAAGTCTGTAGTCAATCCCCAATAAAGCAGAAAAAAAAAGCACCACATAATTAATAGATTTTTGTTGTACATGTGTGCATGGACATGTAAAACACTATATATGTACATTCAGATACACAATACACAATCCCAATATCATAGTTTGTCATTTATATTTTTTCTCTTCTGTTCCTTTCCTCCTCCACCACCTCCTCTTCCTTCTCCCTTGTCCCTTGTCCCTTGTCCCTTCTCCCTCACCTTTTTCCTACCCCTTCTCCACTCCTTCTTCTTCATCCTGCAGTAATGGGGATTGAACTCAGAGTCTTCATACTGAACTACATATCCAGCCATTTTTTCCTTTTTTAATTTTTATTTATTTATTTATATTTTGTGGAACCAGGGATTGAACTCAGACCCTTGCGCTTGCCAGGGAAGCGCTTATTCTACTGAGCCATCTCCCTGGCCCCTCCTTTTTTTATTTTGAAATAATGTCTCATTAAGTTGCCTGGGCTAAGCTAGGACTTGACAGCCTCCTGCCTCAGCTTCCCAGAGTACTAGGATTTCAGGCATGCACCGCCACACTTTAGATAATATACTTCCTTAACAAAGTGTAAATATTACATCCTGGAATAGAAAAAGTTTCAATCCAAAGGCACACAACCATGTCAGATACAGTTCTATGCATGCAAATTGAGATAACAGCCAAAACAAAAAAAGATAATAAGCAAAAGCACAGGTATTTGGAAACTGAAGAATGCGTTCTTTAAAGTAAGACCTGGTCCTTGTGTAAGTCAGATTGCAAGGAAGTGTATGAGAAAATGTTACAGTGAATGCTTCCCAGCAAAGCCTACGCCTAGGGATCCAGGCTATCAGCGAGGACCCACCCACTTTCCCTGTGCTCAGATCTGCCCATCTGGGACAGTAACAGGAAATTCCTAGCAATGTGGGCATCTTTTGATAATGCCAGTGTTTCTTCTGTTTCCAGGTGACCATGGTAGCCAATATGACCTCTTGTAATTCTGGCGAGTGCATCTCTAATGACCTCTGCTGCCAGTGCTGCCCAGCTGGTGAGTCCAGAACACCTTCCAGAGCCATCCATGGGCTGCTTTTCCTACTTGGAGAAGCCAAGCCACAGGTCTTTAGCAAGGACAGAGCTGGAAATGGCCTGGATATGGATAGTGTGGCAGCCATTATGACCCACCCTCCCATGTGGGAAGGAGTTTCCCTGGATCCTATTTGTAGGACCTTGCATATGAACAGAGAAGTATTGGGTCAGTGTTATCCCTTAGTTATTGCAGACTGATCAGGCCCACAATCTCCCAAAGTGGATGGCAAAGGCTTAAATAAAATGATACGATTTTATGGCTCCAGGAAGGTCAAAACTCTCTAACAGGATTTGAGATTCTCTGGGGGCTAAGACAAAGATCTTTTCTGGGAGGCCAGTATTTATTTAGTTATCAAAACAAGGGAGGGGGGGGGAGAAAAGGGAGGGGAAACCTGCAGAGAAGGAGGAACTGCTCAAGGACTTCTTCAAGTAAGACACTGTGTTAATTTAGGAGAACTATGTTATTTCCCAGAAGGTTTCTACCCAGGAGTGAGATCCCTGCAGCTACAGTCTTTATCTAGAAAAGTGACTTCAGAGCTAGGTGTTCTTAGCTGTTGTCTGGTCTTGTCCTTAGAGCTGTCATGGCCTTGCCTGCTATTACAGGCCTCAGTAAGGTTCAGTGACTCACAGAGGTTCACTTATTATTAGTCCACTGCCCATCTCCAGACAAGAGGCCTTGGGCTTGGACAGTGACAAACAAACATGAAAGTCCAATTCATTACCTTAAATCCTGCTCAGAGGTGCTACGTAGTGGTCTCCACCAGAGAAGGGCAGATGCTTGTCTCCCAGGGCACTGGGGAGTCTTCTGCAGGGTTGGAGGACACCTGCGAGGGGTCCAGTCAGAGGCTTCCCCCACCATCCCTCCTTCCAGGAGGAACTGAGACAGGGCTGAGTACAGGAGGCTCCTAGCAAAGAAGTGGCTTAGTGTTGCCCTTGTGTGTTTCACCCTCATATTACTACTCTGGGAAACAAAGTAGTATCTGCTCCTTACTGCAAGGAGGTCTAGACAAAAGATATATGACTGTCCCTACTGGAGCCACACACTCCCAACCCTCCACACAGCTATATATGCTTCCACATGAATATCCACACTTGTACATGCACATCTGTAACACACATGTATACTCACTCACTTACACATGGGTTCAAAAAAAAATACATGCTCTGCTACATTTCTGCACCTACACACACTTGCAAGTGTACATCTCCTCATACCTACACACACCTGCATAATGCACACACCACCCATCAGAGACAGAGGAGACATCACTGGCCTGACCTGAAATCTGCTGAAATTGTCATGTGTGTACGCAATGCCTACAGTGCTGAGGGTGTGCATCATCGGGAGTTTGACCTGTCTCTGCCTTGCCACCAGGGGAGCCCTTATAGGAAAGCATCAGAGCAGGAGCAGAGCTTCAAGGTTCTTCTGTGAAACCTGCTTGGGCGGCTAGGAACCTCAGGGGAGAGCTGGAGATGATGCATGAGGCAAACAGGCTCTAAGTCCTCTGCCTGTCCATACACAGGACCTTGTTTAAATCCAAGAGTGCTGCAGACTTCAGTTCCTGGGAACACATGAGCAATAGATTTAGCTTGAAGACTATGGCAGGGTGTAGGTCTAGAAGGTTCCAAGGAGGGTGGACATCTGGGAGCAGGTGCTGCGCAGGTTGTCTGGTCGCCGTGTGTCTTAAGGAAGGGACAGTCAGTGGCAGTTCCTAGTTTTGGACTCTCTTGGAGTAGGATAGCCCCAGGCCCTGTGTCGCTTTTCTCCATTCTCATGCAGGCCACTTTGTCACAAAACCCTGCCAAGAAAACCACGGCATGGCAGAATGTGCACCATGTGAACCTGGGACCTACATGGCCCATCCCAACCTGCTGCAGACCTGCTTTCGCTGTTCTCAGTGCAAGGAGGGTAAGTGTGGTGCTGTCAACAGGCAGGGCTGGCGGGAACACTGCTTTGGTTTGTTTATTGTTCATTGAGTTTTTTGTTTTGTATTTTGCAGTGCTGAAAATTAAACCTAAGGCCTTCAAAATGCTGCAGAGGCCACTGTGATCTCTTTTCACAGTGGTCTGCTCTCACCCTGCAGACTGTATTTTTCTTGATACTTTCAATTGGCCCACACTTATTCTGAAGAATATGCTTCTTTTCCTAACCTTTAATACATGTAAAACCTCCAAAGAAAGAAAGTGCCACATAAGAGCTCTGCCCTGAATTACACTCCATCTGTCCGCTGACTTTAAAGCATGCCTCCCCCTCCCCCGCCTAATTCACAGAGACCACACCAAAGGTATTGGCTGGAGCTGTGCACAGACATGAAGCTGGCCTGGTGGCCCGCACACAGGGTCTGCTTCCAGGTGGGACAGTCACGAGCGGTCTCCTTACTGTGGTGACCTACATACACCGCCAAAATATCAATCTTCAAATTATTAGGGTTTCTAAAGCCATTTAAGGGCTGGCAAAATAGCTCAGTGGATTAAAACTCCTTCAAAGCAGGTGCAGGGTCATCCAGGGTTCAATCCCTGGGCCTGCTGTGCCAGCCCCACCCCTGGGGCGCACTGAGATGGCCATCGAGACTGGGCGTGGTGGCGCATGCCTGTAATCCCAGCTCTTGGGAGTCTTTTAACAGGCGGATCACAATGAGTCCAATCTAGTAGTGAAACCCTGAACACACTGTAGACTCTTCCCTAAAATACAGAAAAATACAAAATAAAAAATGATAAAATAAATAAAGCCATTTAACAAAAGTGTTGTATATGAGATTAATAAGTGACTATGCTGCAGCAACAAATTGATTTTATAAAAATGTCATCTAAGAAAAGGATACTGATTTGCATTCGCCAAAAATAACTCTGAGATACTTTGGAATGAATCTAGTGAAGGATGTGTAAGTTGAACAAACAGCATTCAAGACCATCTAAATTATAGAAAATAGAAACAAGATTGCAGGTAAAAACACTCAGTCTCTAGGGCCAGCCAGATAGCTCAGCAGACTAAAGCACCTGCTTACGCAGAGTGCAGCAGCCAGGGTTCAATCCCCAGGGTGCCGTGCCATACTGGGCCATGCCAGCCCCACCCTGCGGCACACTGAGATGGCAGTTGAGACTGGTCAAGGTGGCACATGCCTGTAATCCCAGAGCTTGGGAGGCTGAAAACAGGAGAAACACTATGAGTCCGATCTGTGTAGTGATAACTTGTAGATCCTGTATTAAAATTCGTAAAAAAAAAAAAAAAGGCCAGGGAGATGGCTCAGTAGAATAAGTGCTTCCCTGGCAAGCATAAAGTCCTGAGTTCAATCCCCGGTTCCACAAAAAAAAAAAAAAAATCGTAAAAAAAAAAAAAGGCTCAGTCTCATAAAGATGCCCACTATTGCCCATGGGATGGTTCTTGAAGTCAGAGCACTCCTAAGAGGATTTCCAACAGGAATTTTCTTGAAATGAGAAGCTAACAGTTGCCACAACACTCCAGAGGACCACAGCCCAGATGGCATGAGACCTACCCTGATGCCACAGCTCTTTGTGAGGGGACAGTGAAAATGACCTGAAGTTCTTGCAGGGCAGAAATGGTGGGACTGGCACGATAGCACAGAGATCATACTGAGACCACAGAGGGGACGCATTACAGTTCATGCAGGAGAGCAAAACTGGGACAGGAAATTTGAATATCTATGTTTTTAAGGCTCTTGATAATTTTTATGTAAGTTATAAAAGTCACAGCCCATGGAAGAGTTTAATAACTACCACTACATTAGAATTCATGTTCTTGTTCATCAAAAAACACCCATGCTTAAATTGTAAGCCATGGAATGGAGGAATACATTTGTAATAGTAAAAGACACATAAGAACAGTGTCCAGAACACATAAACAGGACTGCACATCAGCAAGAAAAGAGCTTGTAGGGCTGGGACTGGGACAGAGCACTTGCCCAGCTTAAGTGAGGCCTTGGATTCTATCCAAGGTGAGAGAAAGACAGACGAGACAGAGACAGACTGAGAGACAGGGAAGGAGAAAGAGAGACAGAGACAGAGACAGAGACAGAGACAAACAGACACCCACCCCCACAGAAAGAGAGGACAGAGAGATAGAGAGAGACAGAGACAGATAGACAGACAGACAGATCCCAGCCCAGACTGCAAAGCCCCTGCTGCTTTCTCCACAGATTCACCAGGTCACAGACAACAGGGCCTGGTTGTTCCCTTTGGCCCCTGTATTAGAAGATAAATGGCAGATTCTTTGCTCCTGGGTCAAGAGCCCATGGAGGTGGCCTCACAGTGTTGTGACCAGTGCACAAGGGGACCGAGTCCCATCCTCATGACTGACTCTCAACCTCCTCTCTGACAGATCGAAAGGAAGTTTCCAACTGTTCCTTGACTACCGATCGGCAGTGCGAGTGCAAGGAAGGCTACTACTGCGACTCAGAAAACTGTGTGGAGCACTGCTTCCAGTGCAGCAAGTACCAGTGGGCTGGGGCCTCATTCCCCTTTACTACTTCCTTCTCTTTCGATCATTCATAGAGTTCTGCCAACCTCAGGAACCCCATCTGTAAAACAGGGATGACACTTGTATGTCTTAGTGGCCTGCTGGAAGACAATGCTCATGTGCTACTTAGCTTTCCCTCGCTGTGATCAAGTACCTGAGAAGAGCATCTTGAGGCAGGACAGGTTTTTTTTTTTTTTTTTTTCCTTGTGGTTTCAGAGCTGGCCGTCCATGGTCACCTGGCACTGTTGGTTCTGTATGAGGCAGAAACATCATGATGGAAAGGTGTGATGGAGGGAGGCTGTTCAGTTTCGGCTGACCAGGAAGCAAGGAAGGAAAAAGCCTGAGAGGATGGGGCAGGTACAAGGTACAGCCCCAAGGTCACACCACATGACCTACTCCCTCAACAAGGCCCCATACCTTTTATTTCCATCACCTCCTACTAATGCCACTGAATTATGATCTTTAGGTGGGATTGCAAGGCCTAATAGTTAGGACACGCAATGGAAGAGCCTAGACAGTGTAAGACTAACTAATGACCAGATCCTGATGCTTCCACGGCCATAGGGGGCTACTGCTACTAAGTGTCCAGGGACAGCCACTCTGAGGAAGTGGTCATGAGGGGGAAATGAAGCTGTAGAAATTTCTGGGGTGAGAGAGTTCTAAGTTCTCTCCAGATGAGGTGAAATTCTGAGGCTTCAGGTGGCCATGAATTTGCAGGGAACATGTTAAGAAGCTATCATAGTAATAAGGGCACTTACAAAATAGCTTGCATTTGTGAGGCATGCTGCAGACACAGCTTTTGTTTTTAAATACAACTCAGAACATGTACTTGGTGAGTTCAAGTCTTCAGGTCTGGTTCAATCAAGCCTGTGTCTTCCTTGAACTTGACTGCCTTTCCCCTTCTCCACTAACTGGCTTTGTCTTTGGACTGACCTCTACTGTGAGAGAGGAATGGCAAGTCTGGTCCTCATGGCCAGATGGTCTACCAGGAGAGAGAAAGAAAGGTTCTGCTAAAGTTGCACAGACAACTCCTAAGAGCTACTCCTTTTTAAAAAAATTTTATTTATTTATGTGTGTGTGTGTGTGTGTGTGGCCAGCTCAGTTCACCAGGGGGCGGGGCTGGCTGGCATGTGGTGCTGGGGGATTGAACCGCGGTCCCTGTGCTTTGCTAAGCTTGTTCTAAGTAGGTGCTTTAGACCACTGAGCCATCTCACCAGCCCCGTAAGATCTACTCTTCTTGGATCAGTTTGAGCAAGATGACCAAAGCATGGCAGGGCCATCCTGGGGTGGAGGCTGGTCCCTCCCAACCCCTACCCTACAAGTGATGATGAGGATGCTATGAGCTGAGTCTGTCTGGGCACAAGTGACACTCAGTATTTCCTCCCAGTTGTTCTGAAGGCAGAGCTGTCCTTGAGCCGTGCCACCCAAAGGCGAACACCAAATGTGCCAAGATGAATCAAGAGCCACGTAAGTGAATGACTCATTAAGTCCACGTGCACAGACCTTTTCTGGACCCCATATGGTCTGTGTAGTCACTACTCATCTCTGCCAATGTAGTAAAATAAATAAACAATTGTTCAGTGCTACACATCCTCAGCTCTTCTTGTGCTGTGATTTCACAAAGGTGAGGAAGGATTCCTGAGCAATCTCCCAGATATCTCCCCGTGCTGTCCCTCCTACATGATGGTGAGGACCAGCCAATAGTCTCCAACCTATGAGCCTCCAGGTTATGCCCTAGGAACACATAGACCCCTTGGCAAGGACCACTCACATGGCACCCCAACCTGAGGAGCAGAGCCTCTACTCTGAATTTGGTGGGACCACCTGCCCCTTCTAAGGACCTGAGTGATATCTCACAGCCTCTGAGTCTCAGGGCTGGAGAGATGGTGATGGGGGACAGGCACTCTCCTATAGCTATGACTGAGAAGGACACCCCTGCTTACTTCTGCTCCAACACGCTATTCTGCATTCTTCTAGAAAACTCAAACTGGTACTGCCTTGTTATCTGTGTGGCTGTTGGCATCACTACCACCATCATCACCACCATCATCACCATTGCCACAGTCTGCCACTACTTTAGAACAGGTAAATTAGAGCTGGATGCATCCATGAGAAAAGGAAATCTACAGCTCTGTAGTTCTGAATGGGACTCTCAAGGTTCTTTTTCTCACCCCAGCACTAACTCGCAAATGTGCGCCAGAAACCTCTATGACCCTCCTCTCAGCTACCAGAATCGCAGGTAGGTCAGCTATGATGGCAGCAAGCACCATCCCAGAAGCAGGGGACCTGAGGGAGGCAGGGCCTGAGAATCTTCCTGATGCTCGCCCAAGTGTTGCCAAGTTCTGAAAACTCAAGTGTGCTATGTCTTCTGTGGGTGGCATTTCCTTTATTTCAAAGAAATCATGTTTAACTCTACCCCTTCTTTCTGATTTTAGTGGAGGATAATCAAGTGACACCCCTGTAAGTATCATGCTGGGATTCAGAGCCATCTCTCCTGGGAATTTCTTAGGGCATCTGAGGGTCCCACCTGGCACTAATCATTCAGGCTGTGGTGCGGTAAAGTCCCAGGGGCTCTAGAAGCAGGCGGGAGACAGCCCGGGCCTTCCCGTCTGTATCCTCATTTACGAAAGCTGAAGAGTCTGTGCTAGAAGAGACTGAAGGTCTCGAGGTTTAGACCATTGATGGGAAACTGAGGCACAAAAGAGGAAAGGCTTTTTAGGAGTGTCCTGGGGCAGCCGTACAGGGATCACAGACGTGGGCCTAAAACACAAATTGTCTTGTACTGTGGATTTCTGCTGGTCCATAGAAAGGAGCAGTTAACACTTAATTTTTTTTTTCATTTTCCCCCTTTTTTCTCTCCTAACTTCTTACAATTTTTTTTTCTTGTTCCAATTTTGCATGCATATATCTGGTAATCAAAACAACTAAGTTGAAGACAACACTATGCAATACAAGAAATACTGTCAAATTCACATTATCTTGTTTAGTGAAATTCTGTATCATTTCTATTTTTTATTGTCACTATTTTGCATTTTCTTTTAAAAAATAAAAATAAATTTTAAAAAACACAAATCAATTCTTGGCTGACCATTCTGGAGGCCAGATCTCCAAACTCATGGTGCAAGCAAGGCCAGTCCTTCAGAAGCTTGGTGGTAGGGGGGTGCTTGCTGCCTCTCTCCAGTTTCTCATGGTTCTAGAAGTCCTTGGCGTTGCACGGTACACCTCTCTGCCCTTAGCCTCCCCTTTCTGTGTCTCTCTTAAACGGACTCCAGTCGTTCGGCGTAGGTCCCACCCCGACCTAGTTGTCTCCACTTGTTCACGTCTGTGAAGACCTATTTCCAAATAAGGTCACAATCACAGGTACGAGGGTACAGGATATGGAGATACCTTTTGGGAGCCACAGTTCACTCTATGACAGGCTTCTCTTGAGACTTCCCAGGAGTTGGCAGCAAACCTGAGATCTAACTCTGGGCACTATTCATATCTAAAGCTGCATGGGCTAGCTTTCTTCTCAGGTGCACGATGTTCCTTTCTCCAAACATGGTTTGGACAGCACTACGAAAGTAGAGGATGCTGGAGAAAGGACCAACAAGGCCGGTTTCCAGACTACTCATCCTGGGGCTTCTTGCTTCTTGAGGCCCTCTGGTTCTTTCTCCCTGTAAGACTGTCAACCACGTTGAGTTTTGGTGTTCCATGGTCCTCAAACGAAAGATGAGCAACAGACACTATGAGAATCTGATAGGTCATGGCTCAAGCTCACCCTCCTGACTTCTGGGATTAGCTGGGGTTGCACAGAGCCTCCCGCAGCCCAGGCAGCAGAAATATAGCAAATGCTACAGCTTTCCAGAACATTGCAGACATGTAAATAAATTTTCCCTGTTTTTATTTTTTGCAGCAATTAATATGTTATCAAATTGGACATGAGATTCTCTGAAGTACATGTAAGATACCTGTATGGCTTATTGGATTTGAAGAAAGTAAAATTGAGATAGAGGAGCACAAAAGCTCAGGACATGTCAAGAGAACACCACCATGAGACATTCATCAAGTAGAGACTAAGCTCTGAAAGAACAATTCTGTTTCCAAATTCATGGCTGGCCTCCACAGATGGAGTTAGACATGTCTTCATAAACTATGATAAGTGACTGGTTTGTCAAAAACATCTTCAGCAGACATGCAGACACCCAGTGTTTTTTGGCACAGAACTGATGCTAAACAGTGTTGTGGGTGAATCAATTGCAGCTTTCCCAGTGCAGACCCCACTGGAAACTTCAAGAATCCCAAATAGGTCCACACCCCTTCTCTGCATAGATTCTATATGAAACTCAATGGGAGGTCAGCGCTGTGTGCAGCCAGAGTACTTCCTGCCCAAGGAGGTGCCTGTGAGCTGTGTGAGCTCCAGAGTTGTGAGCAGGTGATTGGGGACCCCGCCCACAGTGACAAGCACACTCGAGGTCCTTGTCATTTTTGTGATGTTCACAGGGCCAAGAAGGAGGTGTGGTGCAGACACAATGCTCCATAAAGATGTATGACTAAGTCCACAACAATGCCAACAGTGCCACTTGCCCATCATTCTAAGTAGCTGAGGACACTGGTCTATGTGAGACTCTGGGTTCAGATCAGTGTTTTCAGGCTGTCCCTGAGGTCGTTTTTACAAGGGAAAGATGAGATCTAGACTTGGACCCTTCTTCTAAACCAAGCTTAGCAAGGGTGGTGCATGACAGTAATCACAAAGACCTAATGAAGTGCTTCAAGCCTTTAAAAATACTGCTACCAAAGATACTTGTTCACCAAAAATTGTACAACTTAGCAAGTGGGGGTAGGTATACAAAGGACTGCGATGTTAAACAGTGTCCTGGATATATTGGATCTGAGTGAGTTTCTTCCATGATTTCAATTGTTAGAGACTTCATGAACCCCAGCCTTGCAAGGGCTGCACCTCTGAATAGATTCTCAATAAAATCTAAATAAATCCTGCATAAATCACAAAGGGAGATCAGTGCTGTGTTCCACCAGAATATTGTCAGCTGGGGGTACCCTCGGAGAGTGGTTACACACACTGAGAAAGGCAATGAGATTGGGGGTTGGGAAGGAAAGCACCCTGCCTCTTCTCAATTACCACAAACACCCAACTCAGCACCAGTCTCCAAAAATCGGCACAGATCAGCCTGCTTATCTCCATCCTTTGACAAGGAACTTCAGCTTCCAGTTCTTCCTTAGAGCCAATGCCCTAATACCTGCCAGACTCTCGGGCCAGGAGGTCGGGTCTCTCCCAATTGCATCTCCCTTTCCTTCCACACCATACCCGCTTGCCGCCGCCTCCTGGAGACTGCTCAGACTGCCCGTTCACTCTGCCCGCCCAGAGCACCTTTTCCCTTCTGTACACTACGCTCCCTATCTAAAGCGCTTGCTTTTATTGGGTTTTTCTGGACATGGCAGCTGTTAGGATGGTGTTTCTACAGCATAGATCGGTCGTGACTGCTCCGCGAACCCTTCTATACGTTTGTCATCCTTGGCTTTGCTTGCTGGAGGCTTCCAGGGCCCTCGCAGAACTTCAAGCCGCGTCCTGGCCACAGCACCGTCCGGTGCTCTCACGTGGCCCGGAGTTCCTGCGGGGCTGGTTGTCAGCAGGGGTCACCCGCAGTACGCCGTGTGCCCGGGGTGGCTGCCCGCCACACTGTCCTCTCACTTCTCTTCCTGCCAGCTCCTCACCCCGCCCGTTGCGGGCTGGACTGTCTCTTGACACGGTTGGACGGTGGCAGCGCGACCCTTCCAGCCAACCAGACGCGGTCCGGACCTCCGAAAACCAGCGCTCCCAGCTCCACGCCCAGCATGCCCCGCGATGCGGCTTCGCGGCCCAGTTGCCTAGCGACCGGGAGAATCCGGAAGGCGGCGGGGATGGGCGGGACTTCCGGGGCGCGGTTGCATCAGATTCTGGGAAACGTCTGTGGTGTGGGTCTGGGATTCCCAGAGATGGCAGGTTCCTCCGGGGAGCAAGGTGAGTGTCGCGGTGGGATGTCTGGGACCCGGGCCAGGCAGAGGAACTCTAGGAGGCGCCGCGGGGACCCCGGGATCTGCCGTCTGGCACGCCCCAGGAACTAGGGCGGTGGATCCCCGGGCGGACTCTGGACAAGCCACGGTCTGAGGGGCAGAGGAAGACCGGGGAGGGCAGTAGGTCCACGGATGCGCACTGGCCGGGCCAGGCTCCTCGGGGAAGACTGCAGTTCTCTAAGCAGAATATACGCCGGATATACAGCGCCATCACTTGTCAAGCCAGGTCTCTGAGGAACCACAGTCCCGTGGGCGGGTCAGGCCAGGATTCAAAAGGGCAGTAGGTCCCGAAGGCAGATAAGGTCTAGGCCAGGGCTCTGAAGCAGTAGGTCGTTGTTCAGGGCTAGAATCTGCGAGGCAGCTGGTCCTGATGGCTGGCAGTACTGGCCTGCGCTCTGACTGGTGGCCTGGGCTCTGGTCGGTGGCCTACAGAATTCCTCCAGGCTTGACTGCCAGCTTGACCCAAGCCTTGCATGACCACCCCCTCCCCAGCCTCATTTTCCTCATTGGGTGAGGGCCAAAGTCTCATTGCATACATGATCATGCAGTGGACTTGTGTCAAAAAAATCTGTCTCCAGCTGGTGCCTGGGCCCAGTATCTCCCTTTCCTGCCCCAGCTGGACTTTGGGGACAAGGCAAAGAAAGGCTCAGGGTTATTTTGGTTTTTCTGTCCATCTGGGCAGAAGCTCGCTTGAGGTTGGTACTTAAGAAAATAGGGCGGAAGAATCCTGGGTTACATGTACACACACATAAAAGGGCTTGGGGTTTTACCAAAGCTTTCATCCCTAGTTTGGCCATCAGTCACAATCAGGAAGTACCTTGTCAGAGCATTATTGCCTACTTTATTGCCACCCAGGAGTTTCCTGAGGTGGCAGCTCTGTGAGCTCCCTATGTCACCCAGGGGCAGACCAGGATCTTGGCATTCAGCCCTCTGAAGAACAGTGGGTCTTTCCTCATTGTCCCTCCTGCAAGATTTTAGGTGCTCAAAAGAATAGAGACTGTGGTCCATATTCCTAAAAGAGTTGACTTTATGAAGGAAATGTGTTTAGTGTAGGTTTTATTCACTGTGCTGGCCAAGTTTGGATGTGAGTTCTTTGTCCTGTCTTAGTTGCTCATTGATGAGACACAGTACTGGCACACACACTTAAAAGGAAGAGAGGCTTATGTTGGCTCAGTCTGTAGAGGTTCCAGTTCAGAGTCAGGTAGGTAGCAAGACAGAGGAGAAAGAGCCCATGACATGGCTACAGGAAGCAGAGAGGGGTCAAGGGACGGAGACAGACCCTTGCAGGCCATGCCCCCAGTGACCTACATTCTCCATCAGGCTTCCCCTTCCAAATGACGTGTTTTGTTTTGCTTTGTTGTATGAAACAGGGTCTCACTATGTACTTTAGGCTGGCCGCAAACTCATGATGAT